AGTATCCTGTGACTGAGGATGCCACATTCTGTCTGCCGCAGAGCGGTCATTTTTATCCAAATTCAAAAAGTTTAAAATGAAAAGAGTATGGTGTAAAAGATTACTTGGTGTCTGGGGATATAACTCCCCTTTTCTTATTTTTTGTGATTGTGTTTTTAAAGCACCGTGAGCTCTTTTCACTATACCTTGTCCTTGTGGGTTATATGGTATCCCAGTTTTATGCTCAATGCCCAATTGCAAACAGAAACGTTGGAACTCCTGACTGGTATAGCCAGAGCTATTATCTGTTTTTATAATGTTAGGGATCCCAGCTATGGAAAAGCAAGTCAAGCAATGAGTTATAACATTTTTTGTGGCTTCCCCTGTTTGTGCAGTAGCCATAATAAAGCCAGAAAATGTATCTATTGTAACATGTACATACCTTTGTCTGCCAAAATCTGGAACATGAGTAATGTCCATTTGCCACAGTTGGTTAGGTTTCAGCCCTCTAGGATTAACCCCATAATGAGGAACAATTTGTGTTTGAGGACAAGATGAGCATTGTTGCACAATTTGTCTTGCAGCTTCTTTAGTAATATGAAATTGTTTTCTCAAACTTTGGCTATTTTGGTGATGAATGGCATGAGAATTTGTAGCTTGCTCTACCTGAGTCAATCCTATAAGCTGAGTGGTTTCATCCGCCAAGGCATTTCCCAAAGCTAGTGGCCCAGGAAGACCACTATGCGCTCTGAGATGTCTATATAGCAAGGATATTTTCTAGATTTAATACTATTTTGCACTTGTCTTAACAGTAAATAAATTTGAACATTCCTTGTTTCAATAAAAGGTACTGTTTCAATTTCCTGTAGAGCTCTATCTGTATAGAGATTGAAAGGTGTTGAGGTCAGAAGGTGGAACACTGCAGCTACAGCACGAAGTTCCACTACCTGTGCTGAAGCAGAGGAAGTTTGAAAAGAATAACTGCCCATAAATCACATAAGCTGCTTGTCCATTAGAAGAACCATCAGTAAATACCGTCATAGCCTGGGGGATGGGACTAACCTTAACTATCTTTGGAAATACCAACTCATGCAAATTAGCAAATTGTAAATATTATTCTGTTGTTTTTTTTTTCTGACCTATATAATTTGCAAATGCAATTGCCCATGAATCTACATTTTGAAACAGCCATAGCAACTGTGCCTTAGTGTAAGGAACAACAATTTGAGCAGGCTCAGCTCCAAAGTACCGACATGATTCAGCACGCAATTGTTGGACCAAGGTTGCTACAGCCTCATAATAAGGATTAATTACTTTGGTGACACTGGTAGATGCACCCAAAGAAGAGTGCCATCCTGCCAAAGTACAGCCGTAGGGGTGTGAGTGGTAGAAAAACAACCCATCCAGGGCCGGCTATAATCTACATAGGTAATTTGTTGTTGTTCAATAGCATTTTCTACTAATTGTAAAACTTGAAGAGCATCAGGAGTAATTATCCTGCTAGAGTTGGGATCCGAGTATCCTTTTAACATATCAAACAAAGGCTTCAACTCCCCCGTGGTGAGCCTCAGATGGGGACGAAGCCAATTTATGTCTCCTAACAACTTTTGAAAATCATTTAACGTTCTTAAATTATCCTTCCTAATTTGTATTTTTTGAGGTTTAATTTCTTTGGGATACAGCAGTTTTCCTAGATAACTGAATGGAGCTTCCTTTTGTACTTTCTCAGGGGCAATAACTAACCCATAACTTTTCAATCCCTTCTGTAAGACCCCATAGGCGGCTAATAGCAGTCCCTCAAGTTTGTATATCATCCATATAGTGAATAATATATACTTCAGGATATAGATACCTAGTTTGTGCTATAGCCTGAGCTACAAATTTTTGACATAAGGTAGGAATGTTGGCCATTCCTTGAGGTAAAACTTTCCA